AACATTTTTTGACTCGACCGATAATTCAAAAGGGGGAGGGAGGGGGGTGGTTAAGTTTTCAGCAGGGAATGTTCAGTCCCCTTAAGTCCCCCGCCCCCTCCCAACTAACGCTATGGGCCTGGTCTGATATCACTTCAACTTTTTTTTCCCCTAACGTACAAAAATGATAATTCTGTTTGCTATTCTAGATAATTTTTAAGAGTACATCGTATCTATAACCGCAATTATTAGCTTTAAATGTGATGACATGGAAGCGCCGATCCCTTCCCACTGATATGTTCGTGCTAAAGTATACATCTCGCAGCCCTTTTGTCAATTCCCAGTTGGATGAAGGCCTCCCCATGTTGTTTTTGGTCAGAGGGATTGCTTGACCATACTTCGTCACGCTGGTCAGAATGTAGTTGTGGAGATGCGTGGTCCAGGACCGTTTCAGATATCACTCGCCGACCGATGTCAGCTGAAGCTGGGGGTTTGGATTCGGAGTGTAATGCGTTAAACACTGCGCGCCACGATCATGGAAAAGGATACCCTTAAATATTCGCCAACGTTAACTTTCAAGTGAACTGCCAACGTTGGTCCAATGATTAAAACCACGTGCAAACGTTGGCCTAATGTCGGCACGTTTTCTGGGTGTTAGTTTCTAGCATTCTTAATACACCACCCCTACAGGAGCATGAAGTAATAAAAAATGTCCATTTTATAAAGCAAGACTCAGAGAGGGCAACATTTTAAAGCAGAAGTTGCACGCTTTGAGGAGCATAGCCTTATTCGAGATTAAAAAAAAATGTATATTGTGAATGATTGTAACAATAAGATTTGTTTCAAATGACCCATATATATGTGCGCGTTTATTGTTCAGGTGGTTATCATCAGCATAGATCTTTGTGATTTGCCAACACTAAAATCTGGCATAACTCCACCCCAGCCTTCAAACGGTGACGATGTCAGAAGTGCTTGTGTCAGCATTTTTGTAATGTTTAAATAGTAACACTCAGAGATGGTCTTGATGTGCTTTTGAAGGGTTTTTTTTTACAATCTATACGCATGAATACATTTAAGAGCATTACTGTATTCTAACGCTCATGAATACATATGCAGAGTATACAGTATCTTTGATTCAACATGAATTTTTCTTGATTGAGAAAAATAGAATTTTCCTTCAAACCCATTTCAATCCAAGATTGAATACTAGCGTATAGATCTTTGTCAATCCACTGCTCACTGATGGTCTCGACTACATGCTCTGTTGGTCATAGGCGTTGCTTGGCCATACTTGACCACACTATCAGTGTGGACCAATCCGTATATCACTTGCCACCCCATCTTGGCAGATAATTTAATTCAGGTTGGTTGGGTTCATAGCAAAATGTGTGAACCACTGTGCCACCAATCCCACCCCAGATAAAAGCAACATTCAAGAAAAAATACAATGTACTTTGTATGTGACCAAAATGTTACACGTCTTAAAAGCGTCACAATGTTGGTCATGATTCACAGATCTCCCAGTGAGGCAGTTCAAAACTATGAATATGCTTCTTAAATCCCTCCACTGCTACCCCACCCATCTTTGTCCATCCAGAAGTATGAATGGGTCCACAGTAGGGTGTGCGTTGATAGGCAAGGTCGCGCACGGGTGCTGGGATGACATGCGAGTACTCCCACTTGTTGCAAGAGGTTTCACCGAGGAAAACTTGGCCAAAATAGCAATCTAAACGGCCTCCCTAGAGCTCCCATTCGTGGGAGGCTGCTATAGAACAGTGGTTCTTAACCTGGGGTGCACTCACCCCCTGGGGGTACGAGATGCCCTTTCTCAGGGTTGCGAGACATGGCCAGATGTTTTTAAAAGGTAAATAATCAAAACACAAATTAAGCACAGGCACGTAAGTACAACTTACTTGGTTTTATCAGACCTATGTATTTACGAACATTATACATATTTTTTTACGATTAAGAACCAAAAGGGTGCATGGCTACAGTAAGGTTAAGGACCACTACTGACGGGTATTTGACTGCTATGGATATTCCACACATGATAAGCCACTTCGATGAGCTATTATATGTGGCCAGGTCGCTTCTGAAAAAGAGCCACATACCTCAGTGGGCCTTAACCTGGTCAAAAAAAAATGTTACAGTTTATAGTTTAGGAGGCCCATTCGCCTGCAGTTGTCGTCAGTGAGCAATCGGCGGGCTGCACTTTTGCCTCGTGCCTCTCTGCGAGTGTTAAGAGGTGGGCCCCACACCTGAAAACGATCGGGGTTGTGCAACCAAACCGCGGAGCGCATTTCTCGACAGCAAAGCCCGTCACCGGCGTGAGCGGCTGCGCAAGTGGCAATGCTCGTAAACCGGTTTGCAGAGAGGTGCACGTCCGTCAACGATTCGGTTGCATGCAACCCGATGTTGGCGACTGATCGCTCAGGTGGGGAAACAGGCTCTGTGGATTCACGAGGAAACGTCCTACTTCTGTTTCCGTTTCACATGTCTGACCGATTTGTTCAGGAAGTAACGCTCGCACTGTTAAGCCACTTTTTTTTTTTGGGGGGGGGGGGGGGTAGGTAAATCACACGACATATAAACAAAAAAAACGATAAAAAAGAGACGAATTCTACAGCGAAACAACAACAACGTTCCAGCCGTCTGTCGGTCCGCTGCTGGATGTGGCACATTGGCTTGTGCCTTGCGTCGTGAACTCAATGACCGGAGTGTGACTCCAGGCCAGGGCGAACGTCATATGTCACAAACGATCCTGGGTCTCTCTCTTCACGAACCCACACTGTGTGTCACGAGCAGTGTGACAGCACACCCACCATGAAGCACATGGCATTCATCCGGCAAACGCACTGGCATACTCGTTTGCAAGATATCCAAGCGGAGGGGAATTTATACGATGAAGTATTTCTAAGAAATGTCACACATTCAAATTAAGTTGTTTATAGTTAGGCAAGTTAAGGATGGAGCTGCAGGCATAGTGATTAGCAGCAGCAGCAGTAGCAGCATCACACTCTACCGACTTAATTCGCGAGCCACAGATTACATCAGCTGTGAATGGACAATATCTTGAACGAGCCTTCACCAGCCTACACTGACCAGCGTGGTGAAGTACTGTACACTGTAATATTAAAAAAAAAACATGACCGACACGACAAAGGGTTCGCCGATGACAAAGCATTGTTAACTTTTGAATGCTTTTGCACGAAAGTAATGCACAAACTTTAAGCCGAGTAAAATTTATCCAACCTATGGGCTGTAATTGTTGGGGCCCCAAAAAATGGGATAAAATACATGGTTTTTCGATTGTTATATTTCTCAGTATAAACTGGCCTATACGTGGGCCAAACGTAATCTCTCTCGAGCCCTTGCAGAACGCCATCGTCATCAGTCGTCTACATCAGGGGTCGCAGCACCCAAAACAAGAAGAGAGTTGAGCACGTAGTGGTCTTTCGCGACCAATACTATCCATAATAGAGGTTTTTGGGGGTAAGACCAAAACAGGAGGAGGATATCTTCTCCACAACTCTGGCTGGTGCCTGATGATGCCGGTTGTAATTACCGGCGAAACGGCGAGCTCGAATGTCAAATGTTGTGGGTTTACTCTCCGACACAACCGGTGTGCTGTACTAGTAACGAATTGGCACGTTTTGTTTACGTGACAAACTTTACTAATTGGCAGTGGCGGGTTTAACGACACATTTATATTTACGTGATCCAATCCCAAAACCTCTGTTGTGGTTAGCAATTAAAGGCATTTTTTGCTTCGAATTCGGTAAAAAAAAATACACCTCAATATTTCAAGAGCCGCATTGCATGTGAATTAGAGATGGCCCTGAATAGATAACGTCAAGAAGTAGTCAATTAAAGAGCCACATGCGGCTCTGGAGCCGCAGGTCGCCGACCCGCAGGATCTACATGTATGAGACATGACGTAAGGCGCAACAGTAACAACTCTGCTCTTGAGGCCAGTTATACGTAGCGATTCGTGTATAGACGCACCACGAAAATAATAGGGGGAAGTTATACAAGGACATAGAGCTTCAAAGCCTCTGCCCGTCTCCCACCAATCCCCAAAAGACGCATTAAAAACAGGGTGCTTCAAAAAAACGTTAACGCTTCTGAGAATTTGCAACAACACCACGAGAATTGTGCTGCTGCCTCCGGGCTCTGGAGACAACCTGGAGAAGATGCCGGGCGTGCGTTGGACAAAGACGGCGAACAAAGTGGAGACCCTTTGACTTCTCGCAGCGATCAACGTGCATTTTGTTATCACGTTACAGTGCATTATCCGTTCTTTTCCCATTAAAAAAAAACGATAGTCCCGTGTAAGTGTGTAAACATTTGTTTTTTGCCATCGGCTTTCGCGCCGCCCATCGTTCATTCACCTGTTGGAAAAATCATCGGGGTGGCTAACTTGATTGTCGACCGAACAGGCGCGTGCGGTGCGTGTTCGCTTTGAAGGGACCTCGCCTCATCATCCCGAGAACGCGGCACACTGCATAGGTTGTGTTAGGGCTGAACGATTAATCGATTTAAAATCGAAATCGCGATTTGATTCAGTGCGATTAGCAAATCGCAAAGGCTGCGATTTTTCACGATTTGAAAAGTCCTATTACTTTCTTATTGGAATTGGTTTATTTTATTATTATTATTATAGCTTCATTTATTTAACTGAACAATCGTTCTATGTTTGATTGTTCTATTTCAATTAAAACATTTTAACAAATACACGTTGGAAGCAATTCATATCTTTCAAGTTCTCATCCCTGCATTGGAATATATAGAGCAGTTCATATTTTGATGGTATCACGTGGTAACGCTCCATCACGTGTTTTAAATCTATTACACATTGAATACTGAACTGAAGCTTGACTTTAAAAAAAATTGAATCGCAAATCAAATCGCGTTCGCAATATCTGTCAGAAAGATCGCAATTTAGATATTTCCCACCAAATCGTTCAGCCCTCGCTCTGCAAATGCTGTGCGCGCCCGCGTGTCGTCGCGTGCAATACTTCTTATTCAGAGAGGACGGCGCTGGCCAGCACAGGTGGACCAAGTTGCTCGCTGCTCCCCGCACTGCAAGAAGCAACCTTGAGAGGAGCATCTTCGCGGTGAGGGACATACCCTGGCGAGAGACACACACACACAGCGAGCAAAGGGAACGATCACCATTGGCGCCGAGTGATTTACAGCGCTGGGCCGGTTGGTGGGAATTCCACGTTCCTATGGCCGTGAGGAGGGGAAGGCGAGACTCGACGTAGGGCAAGCAAACGCTGTTGAGTTCCCCACGTTGATTTGTACGTAACTATATATATATTTTTTGAAAAGCATGTTATTGCTCGATCCCCGGTAGGGATGATGATGATGATGGTGATGTGCCGAGTCGGCTCCCAGCCAGGATTTGAACTCGCAACTTTCCCGATTGTGAGCCCGTTTTACCCCCCCGCCTCTCCACGCCGCTGAGCCACCTGGCCAACCCATTCATTGTTACGGAGCCACCCGATAGGCACAAACAACGGCGAAGCAAACGCTCCAAAACGCTCTGAAACATCGAGCGCAGCGCTCAAAACAAAGAGGCGAAAAGTTGACCGCACGCACACACACACAAAGAGAGATAGAGAGAGGGAAAGTTAACAAATGACAACCAAAGTGCAACGGAAACAAAGCGACACAAAAAAATTAACAACCTGTACAACGAACGCGACTTGAGGTCGGGCAGCCCCGCAGCCGCTTGCGCCTTGCAAAGGGGGAAGAGGGGGGAGGGAGCTTGGAGATGATGGAGCTGTGTGGTTTGTACGGAGCTGTGTGAGGCCGGCCGAAGAGGAGAGAATGTGGCTGTGCGAGAGCGAGGAGGAGTGGAGCCCGGTGGCTGTACCGGGGTGTGGGGGAGTTGGACTTAAGTGTGGGGAGGGAGTGGGGGGGGGGATAAACCCAGGGCGGTTCGCTGCGTGGTGGGGAGGGAGGGAAGGAGGGAGGGTGGTGGGATCGCGAGGAGGTTTCTAGTTGACTGCGTCACCCATTCCATCACCAACATCGCCTGTCCGGCTCAGCAACAAGGGGGGCTGTCGCTTTGTTTGTCGGCGCAGAATTCCATCTTCGGACCTCTCCGCCCTCTCATCCCCCCCCCCTCGCATCCCTCCCTCCTCTCATCCCTCCACCCATCGCGATCTCCACCCCCTACCACCACCTCCTCCCACCCGCTACAACACAACTACAGCAGGAAGAAGAGATAACTCTGTTCACCCGTGAGCCGTGTTCTTCAACAAAAGATGAAAACAGCGAAGATGCGATGCGTGGAATTTTGAACGAGAGAGCAAACACGCTGGATGAAGAGACACCGCGCGAAGGTTAATTGCGTTTAATAAATTGTTGACGAAGGGCCATTGCCCGAAACGTCAAAAATGTAATTGACGGTTGCTGTGCCTTGACACCACTGCAGACGCGGTATCACGTGAAGCTCAATGTGAATGAAAGCAAAGAGGCTTGTTGGGGCAGGCAGGGCACGTGAAAAATTCGAAGGAGGAGCGATGAATGAGGATGGTCGAGACCAATAACTGAGCGGCAGCCGAGGAATGGAACGCGTCCGAGAGGACGTCCACTCAGGAGCTGCGGCGATTAAATCAGTTCGCGTGAAGGTGCTTGGGGTGGATTTGTTAAGAGGTGGGGCTGACGGCTTGGGAAGGGAGGCTCTTGTCCAGCAGTGGATTGATCATGGCTGCTGATGGTAACGACGCGACGCCCTCCAATGTTCGCGGACAGACGCGGCAAGCATATACATACGCTCACTGTATTTTCCGTGTAGCAATTATGTGTAAAAAGTTGGCATTTGCGCAATTTCATGAATTTCCTGGCATAATAACTTTACGTTTCAAGCACTGTAACTGAAGTCAAACTGACTTGAGCTGGAAAGCGGTCAAAAATGTTTAATGGAGTGATTTATTGGTTGTGATTACACCCTATAGAGACCTCTTGACAGATGGCTGAAATGCCCTAATGCAGTATTTTTCTAATCATAATAATACGATTGGTTTATTGGAAGATGTTTGCTTTCATCATCGTCATAATACTACTGATGTCGCAATTGAAACATCACTTCTTAGATCAAAGAATCTTGCCCTTAATAAACTGACTGTAGAACTGATGTGTGTTTACTAAAATATTTGTGCCCGTAATTTCTCGACTAACTTTTGTTGCAAAAGTAGTACACTGTACAATGCCGACCCATGTGTAAGCGATAGCCTTCCTGTGTACACGGCCGTAGAAGCGAAGTTTATTAAAAAAACTAACTAACTTTTTTTTCATGAATTTATGGTTTACATGATATTATCATGGTTAGATCGTGTGGTGTGTTTCGCACACTATGCTTTGTATATTTACAAATGAGTGCCATTGCACGTGGAAATTGTGTCTTAGATGTATTCAGGTGCTGGTCCAAATATTACCTATTCATGTATTCAGAATATGAATATGAGAGATATAGGACAGATGTATTCAAAATAAAGTTTTCAGAGATAAAAGAGAGGCATAGTCAGCCAAAGTTGGAAAATGACTGCAGCAGACAATGACTTACTCTTGTGAACAACATTATCCTAACTTACCTTCTTTCACTCTTTTTAACCCAGTTCTTCTCCATAGCGTCCATGAGAGTCCAGTTTACCATGGCCCATGGGAGTCCACTTTACCATGGACGTCCAGTTTACCGTGGAAGTCCAGTTTACCATTGCCCATGGGAGTCCACTTTACCATGGACGTCCAGTTTACCGTGGAAGTCCAGTTTACCATTGCCCATGGGAGTTCACTTTACCATGGACGTCCAGTTTACCGTGGAAGTCCAGTTTACCGTGGAAGTTATGTTTACCATGGCCCATGGGAGTCCACTTTACCGTGGAAGTCCAGTTTACCGTGGAAGAGATGTTTACCATGGCCCACGACAGTCCAGTTTACCATGGACGTCCAGTTTACCATGGGAGTCCAGTTTACCATGGGAGTCCAGTTTACCATGGCCTATGGAAGTCCAGTTTACCATGGCCCATGGAAGTCCAGTTTATCATAGAAGTCCAGTTTACCATGGAAGTCCAGTTTACCGTGGAAAATATGTTTACTATGGCCCACGAGAGTCCAGTTTACCATGGAAGTCTAGTTTACCATGGCCTATGGGAGTCCAGTTTACTATGGAAGTCCAGTTTATCGTGGAAGATATGTTTACCATGGCCCACGAGAGTCCAGTTTACCATGGAAGTCTAGTTTACCATGGCCTATGGGAGTCCAGTTTACCATGGAAGTCCAGTTTACCATAGAAGTCCAGTTTACCATGGATGTTCAGTTTACCATGGAACTTCTGTTTACCATGGCGCACGAGAGTCCAGTTTACCATGGAAGTCTAGTTTACCATGGCCTATGGGAGTGCAGTTTACGATGGAAGTATAGTTTATCATAGCCCACGGCAGTCCAGTTTACAATGGCCCATGGGAGTCCAGTTTACTGTGGAAGTTCAGTTTACCCTGGGTCAAGCCCGTCCTACTACTCCATGCCCCTGCCCCCCACCTTAAATTTCGATTTAAAGCTTTCGTGACTGCAGGGATTCATCTTCTCGGTTCTTTCGGTAAAGTCACGTAGAAAATAAAAAAGGTGGGTTCTAATTATTTAATTATTATTCCCCTTCTACGTGACTTTACCGAAATAACCTAGAAGATCACTCCCACCTTTCTCCTGTTACCGTAACTGCTGTACACCACCGCTTTAAATAACCCTACTCTTTCTCTCAACCACTAGCATCTTACGTGCAATCGCACACCGGTTGTAAAGCGACTTGGAATTAGGCGCTGCTATACAAATCTCGATAAGATACGATGTTTAACGTCCGCTGTAAAGCAGATGGCGCGTAGTATATTTTTTACGGTTATCGCAATCGCAGCATTAATCGGGGCGGCTGCTGTATTCTAACCGTGAATCCCTGCAATGAGCAACAACTGGGAAACGTCACCGACAGCGATAGGAGAGATGTACGACGCAGATGATAATTACAAGCAGTAGAAACGGTGTATTTGCGGAAAGATAGCCGTAAGAGCCACGTGAGAGAAATATTAATTGGAGGAATATGAGAGAAATGTGATGACATGTGAAAAGATGTGTTCAGAATGGACGTGGATGACAGAGAATTGACAGAGATGTAGTCAGCAGACATATAATATATACTTTTTTTTAAAGGTATGACAATATAAAATTTAGATATTTTTTTTCCGGTGAGATTGTAAGTTAGACATTTTGTAGAAATAAAATGCATGCAGTGCTGTGCCCACAAGATGAACTGTTGCTGAAGTTCACCCAAGTCACCTTCCCCCAACCTCTTGTTACAAGACTATAAACTTACCTCCTGAACAAGATGGTTTAACCTAATTACATCATACAGTCATGTGAAATAATTACGCTAATTCGTTTAATTTTAAAGCCACGGAGGGCCATTTTTAATCGGACGTTTGAGTGATGCCACAGGCTGGATTAAATCAGCCTTTGGGCCAGAATTGGCCTGAGGGTCATAGTTTTGGGCAGCTCTAAATTAAAGAGTCTGTAAATGAAAGCTGTGTTGTAAATTTACCTATAGACGTAGGCTTTAGTACCCAAAAACTAATTCAGTGCATTTTGAGTGCTGAGGGTGTCTTCTGCTAACTGAAGTGGGTCTGATTTGTGAATACAGTCATTTGTAATGGACTTCCTTAATTAAATGTCCGTTGAGCTGCCAGGCAACAAGAGTCAATGCAGAGGGTGATATCGTCAACTGATGGTCTTTATATATACAGTACTAGCAGGAAGTACCCGGCGTTGCCCGGGCGAAAAAGACACACACACACATCAACTGACATACACACAAGAATCGAGCCACACACACACAAACACATCGACTTCTACACACATGCACACACATGGACTCACACACACAGACATCGATTTACACACACACACATTTGAACTTTTCTATTTACTATCTCAGTTTTTAAAGATTAGTTTTCTGTTTACGTCATGTTAGGGAAAGAACCAAGGAAGAGGGGAAATGCAAGCAATTGTTAATGCACCTTTGAAGATCAGCACACTGCATTCAAAGCTGAAGGTCTTACTTTAGTTGTATGATATGCCTTTGTCTTGTATTGAATGCGATGAGTCATAAGTGTATGGTTAATGGTATAAAAACACGTATGTATTTGTACTGTAGTCTTTATTACTGCAGATTTTAATTGTGCTGTAGTAAGGCTCTTGAGGAAACACAGACGGTCTAAAATACTCTCATATAAGCGCACAACTTTATCTGTCTGTGATGAGCGTTGCACTTTCTGTTGTTTTCATGCAGGGCATGCTGCAAACCTACGCACCCCCTGCATGAACGACGGAGGCACAGGGACAGACGTTGGATCACGTTGAAATCGATCTGCAGACGGCGGTCTTCTCGCACGGCCAGCAACTCTATGTCGCCTTATCTCGATCCCGCAAATCCCAAACAGGTGAAAGTCCACATCGAACCGAACCCCAAGCAAGGCCATCTTACTTAACGACGAGAGAGAATTCACACGAAATGTCTTTTTCAATGAGGTCTTCCAGATGTAAAATGATATAAGCTTTTAATGAAGAAATGCAATTATATAATTCAAAACGTAACACAATTCAAAGATGTTTCATTTTAAAACTTCACAACGGAGCATCGGGTGCTTGCGTGAATGCGTCGTTCGTGTGCAATTATTTTGTAACTTTCCCAGCCGAAGGCCGTAAATAGTTGTGAGGGTGGCCCATGCGCCCCTGAACAACCCCTAGTTTGTAATTGATAAATGGGTATTTTAAATGGTTGATTTTTCCCAACAATGTAATAAAATGATACACCAAATGTAATCGGCTATAGCAAAGAAAGTCCAACTTATTCAGCACTATAACAT